AAACGTTTGATAACTATCTGGACATTATAAAGATTTCGCATGTGAAATTTCAAAATGTTCTGATGCATAAAAGTGTTTTTAATCTTAATATGAATATTATTTTGCATGATAAATAGGCAACATGCGCAAAGAAAAAATAGACATGAGAAAAACTTTGCTTTATCTTAAAACTTAATTAAAAAGATTGATATTTTGCATATGGAAGCATTGTAATGTTTACTGATAATCTGACAAATTTCATTAACATACCCTTACTAATTTAGAAATTATAGCATGAAAACTTTAAGAAGCACAAAATGGTTACGAGGTTGGTCCCAGGGACCGAGCCCGTGCTGAAAGAGTTAATTCTATATTATGTATAACCAACGGAAAGCCAAGGTTTTCATCTATCAAATGACGTATTATATTACATTCGTTTTTGAACAAAGAATTGTCAGTTTCTCAGTTAGTACAAGCTTCACTCCCATGTGAAAAATGATGACTAGCTTGGAGGAGTTTGTAACAGTTTTTGTTGCATAGTTAAAAAGCTAGAAAGATTGTGATAGTTAAGGGAAATTGTCTTCTTTTTGCAGATTATTATTCAATGTTATTTCGCGCATTATTTAATTGAATAAAAATTATTTAGTGCATTACTACCATTTGTATAAAAAAGAGTGGAGTTAAGTGTCATCGATAGTCAACAGCCAAAAAGAAAAAAGACCCAGTAAGTACTTTATTTTTTGCTTTTCATGTTTATTTATTACTATGAAAAGAACTAAAATGTAAAATTAAGGGTCTCTTTAGGCTAGTTAATGTTAGATGAGGTAAAATAAATAACAATAATATAATAAAAATGTTTCATTAGGCATGCATGCCAGCAGCTCGGACTCGGAGTAACTTGTGGGTAATGTAATTCGATAGAATAACGTGAGCTCCACATTCCCCAAGTGATTTACAACTTATAATGGCATGAATAGTTGTAGTCAGTTGTTCAAAGGGCAATCACAGAGCAATAAAATAATAAAATTTAAGTATAAATAGATGTATACTGTTACGAGCTTAAAACTACTTAGGATAAACGAATGTAGTTTCATGTTACAATTTCAAGTCATTCTAGAAAGAAAAAACAGTAATTTAGATTTATTTCAATTTTCTATTTTTATTTTTTGTGGTTACGAGGTCAGTCAAATTGACCAACCCTGTATAGAGTTAGAGTAGAGAAAATAACAGATAAAATTTAAAGTTTTACTGAAAACAAACATCTGAAATGCATTTAGCAGGTTTTAAAGATTACACAAATGATATTTGAAATTTTGGGGACAAACAATAGTTTTTTAATCATAACATGAAAATCACTTTGCACTCAGACTAGTAACAAAAGAGATTTGATATATTCACAAACAAATCATTGGTAAAAATACTTCATTAAAAACCCTGATTTTTTTGTGTACAAAAGACTTGTAATGTTTACTAAAAGTCTACCAAACTTTATGAAGATACACATACTGCATTAAAAGTTATAGTACAAATACTTAATGTATGCAAGTGTGTATACAAACTCATGTATTTTATACCGAGCCCATCGTGGAAAGGTTAACACTCATGAGAAATTTAGTTTATCTATATTATATTGTATAATTTAATAGAACATAGTTCATATTAACAAAAATAATAAAAAGGCTTACCTTCAGATGTGTCATCAGGTTAGAAGCATTTTTCCTGACGCAGAAATAGTTCACTCACAATATTTAAACTTTGCCTTGATGTGATTAGATATATCAGCAAGAAGTGTTCATGTACCATGGCAGTTTAGTAGTCATATCAAATTCTCTCAAGTGACTTGACTGGATTAATAACCAGGTAATACAATAACTTTTAAGGTGGTTGGAGAGTATTGACCTGATTTAACGTGCCGCAGTTGTAATAATGACAGTCTAGAAAGTTGATGAGTACTAAAGTTGACATTTACACATACAATATTAAGTATTCATTAAATCATTCAGCAAATATGAATACAAATACAAATACTGTCAAAGTTGTACCTGAATTCATTCAAATATGAATTACTGATTACGAATACCCCATGCCAGATAATAACAAAGCATTTATATGAGTTGAATATTATACAAATTTAATTCAATTTCCACATTTCATTTTTAAAACGAAATGAAAATGGGAAAGATTTAGTGCCTAATACTTGTGAAATTTTACAGTGTTAGAATTAAAATGAATTTGAAACTGATATACTGGCAACAAAACTTTTGATGAAAAATTCCTGAATGTGTCTTCGTGAATTGGACAGCATGTCAATTATCTACAATTTCCATTCTCCTACATGACTTACTACAGAAGTGACAGGGAATCTTACATAAGCTCTGAAACATCCTCTTATAAAGCTCAGTGTAGACCCTCAACTGCAAAAATTCATACACAGAGTTTCATGGAAGAAGAGACCATGATTACATATTTTTATTTTTCTATTATCATATAATTTTTCAACCTCAGACACCCCTAGAGAATTGAGAAATATAGAAATACTTACATTGCCTTGGGTATACTCATGTCAAAGAACATGCAAGAGTCCTGAGTAGAAAAATCAATATAAGTACAAATGCTCAATACACAAGATGAAACTGTGTTTAATAACTGTATCCTTCTTGTTTTGTATTGTTTCTTTTAAAGGCAAAATTATTCAAAATCCCAGATACCATGGAAATGGGTGTTGGGCAGAATACATAAAAATACACACAAGATGGATTCTATCAAACATCGAGAGTAACTACAAGAGCAAATGGAAATCTGAAATTCAAGATACAGTGATGAGATGAAGGTAAAACAGCAGAAAGAAAAGTATGCAGATTCATTCCCATGCTGACCTGTAAGCTGTCTGCTGAAGGCTTTAGACATCAGGAAGCCACAAAAATACCCAAACGGTGAATGTGATGGGATGTAATTTGAAATCCATGCTTAAGGTGGTCAGTACCATTTTGATAAACAAGACAGGTCAGCTGCACAAATCAATTCTTTATTATGGATCGAGCAAGATTCATGGAAAGATTATCATCGTAAGGTACAAACAACCAATAATGATCCTCTCATAAAGATTTCATTCTTCAAAATAGGAACAAAGAGCTCTGACCAGAGATTGCAAATGCTTGTCAGAAGGAGAATCAGAATCAATCACAGTCGGTAAAATAACAGAAAAATAAAGAGTGGCAACCACATCGAGCAGCCTATATCTTAGTAGGAAGGCTCTATCAGCATATAAATACAAAACCTTTCTGGATTAAATATATTGAGAAACAACAATTACAAATATGTCTGAACATCTCATTGAAGTGAGTAACGAAATACATCTTCAAGGAAAGATTGTAAAGTGAACAAATTGTGAATGGATCAAAAGGAAAAGTTCAAGACCAGGTTTAAATCGCACCGAGGATAATGCAAGGTATTTGTGAATGACATAATAAAAATAATTAACTTAAAATAAGACCCAAATTCGAGCGCCCCCGAATAGTCAACTATTTTAAAACGCCCCCATTTTGGGCTTTTTTTTTGTTTATTATTTTTTTTTTTTTATTTTCAA